CGGCACGAAAAACATGAAATTTTGGCCTAATCTTGCACCTAAATGTCCGATATTCAAATTTCGCAAGTTTCTCAACCTTAGATACCAACTTTCCATAACGGGATTTTCTTTTTATATTTTTATAAATCTCTATTTATTTAGGCTTGTGCAGACCTAAGTAAATGCAGAAATATCTGCAATTTAAAAAAAAGAGGATTTAGGTTGTACACCGATCCAAATCCCGTTATAGAAATTTCATAATTTTCAAAGGCTATCTGGATTCGAAACACCGAAGTTTGTGAAGTTTCAATGGAGGGATTTTGCTTGTGCATCGATCCAAATCTTCCAAATAGAGAATTGGTAACTTTAAATGTTCACCTAAATCCGCTTTTAAAAATGAGTTTTTAGACGGGATTTGGATCAATGTACAATCAAAATTCTGTTTTTTTAATTGCCGCTGTTTTGCCATATTTATTTAAGCCTGCGAAAGCCCAAAGTTCATCTGTTTCCACACACAAAAAATTGCAAACTTTCGAGTATAACGGGCTTTCGCTTTTACACTGGCAAACTTGTACATTTTCAATGTTCATTTGATTCCATGAGCTAACTGAAAACTATCAAGGTTCCATAATTGGATTTGGACCGATGCAGAAACAAAAGCCTGTTCTTATACCGATCTAAATCCGGTTGCAAAAACTCAATAAGTTCATTTGATTGCATACAAAAAATTACAAAATTTCTACAATGCTCGTTGCTTTTTACATCGATCCAAACATCATTATAGAAACTCGCCAACTTTCGGCTTTTGAGCATTTTATCACTGCTTGCCAGCTGCACTTTTTGTTAGTTTTCCCGGTTTTCTCACCTGTGTGCTGGTCCATTGGGCCGAACATGAGTGATAATTAGGGGACGACTCATGTGCGGATGTTCCGGCATGTATCCGCCCCTTAAGGTTATTCCCAAGGAGCCGTCGATTCGCTCAATTGTAACTTCTGTTACTTGGGATGTTACGCAAAGTGAATTTTGCGACGCTGAAAATAAATCGTTACCATTCAATTAATGAGCATCGGGCAAAATGAAGCAGAGTAATGAAAGAATATGAGTAAATGCACGTTTTATTTAGGCAAAAAAAGGCAAAGAATGTGAAAAGCAAAGCAATAAAGTTCCTTCATTTGTAGAACCGTGAGTAGAAATAAAGATAAAATTCGAAACTCGATGCGACTTTTATTAAGCTTCCAGCACGTGGAGAGAGAAATGTCTTCTAAAGAATGCTCACATTTGAAATTTCTAGTTGATTTCATTTGGAAGACCCAATTTTTAAACGGAAAGAGCGCAGTTGCGCAACACTTGCATTTTGAGACCGGTACTTCAGGATTGTGAGGGGGCGCAAAATTCAGGATTGTACGTGACTTTTATCAAAATCTCCTATTCCGTAGGGCCAAGAATTTTTTCAAGGTGGTGAAAATTGCAAATGGCTGCACGGTTTCGTTTGCATGAGTGGGCATTTTAAAGGGAAGAGCGCACTTTAAAACCGTCTGTTATGAGATCCGTAATGAACAACCTGGGAAAATCTAGATTTTCGACAATTTTTCTGAAACTTTCAACATCGACAGCACCGACTATCTTCTGAGCATGATTAACGTTGCAAATTTCTACYTGCCTCAGTTTGCAAGACAATAATTTTTAAAAGTAAGCGCGCAGTTGAGTAAACATATTCCTTAGASACCGATATTTATTAAGCAGGCAAAGCTTTGGATCTCCGGATGTTTTTACGAAATTTAGTGCACATATGGAYCCAAMTGTCTGCTAAACATGGTGTAAACTAAAAATTACTGCCTTCCTAAATCTGCAAGAATCGAATTTTTAAAAAAGRGCGTGCAGTTYTGTAAAARCATTGCATGTCGWCAGCCGCATTGACTTGGAAAAACTCGACATTTTAGGCGATTTTTTATGAAACTTTCTKCMTCGCCAAAACCRAATGTCTTCTAAACATGATAAACATTTCCAATTATTGCCYGTCTAAGTTTGCAATATACAAGCTTTTAAATCCGAGAGCGCACTTGAGTAGAAGCATCCCTTATGAGACCCATAKTTACTAAGCTGGAATATACAAGAGTTGGAAAATATTCTATGCCTTCTACATAACTGTAGCTTACCATAACTGGGCAAAGAGTACTCCACTTCCATTACAGTGTTGCCCTCGATGCTGTCTAAGATACTGGTGACCTCATCAGGTCGCATTCGCGTTGTTGATATGCCATTAACGCTCAGCACTCTGTCGCAAGGCGTTAGCTGATCAGAATTCTGAGCGGCCCCGCCCGGTCGCAGTGCCGCTATGGTTGGACAGGGATCAGCGTCCGATATTCCTGGAAAAGAATCAGCGTTCTGAAGCTAATTTTCAGCAAAAGAGCATCACAAAGTTTTCTATAAAACCCATGATTTTCTTCATAGTGCCCTAAAGAACACCAATGTAATCCCGGAAAGCCCGATATCAAGCCCCTTAATATAAGCATAGTATATCTAGGTAGGAATAAAATATATCAGACAAATCACGTTTTATTCGGTTCCAGCTTCCGTTTCATATATGGGAAATAAAGTCGTCTTTGTCGCTGGCAGCCGACTGACCCGTATGCAAAATGACCGCATAAATCCGTATCAGAAAACGATATAGCTAAAACGCAATTGTTTCTCGGAGATAAATCAATTCAATTCAGTATCGGAATTGGCTTCCATTGCAAGATATGTTGCAGTGGATATCCGGCGAGCCCGGAATTCTTTTCGGTGCTTGACTTGCCGGAAGAATGCATCCGTGCAAGAAAAAATTCAAATATTTCATGGAATCATTTTGATTGCTCTATTTGCCGCCGATGGGAGTTTAACGGTGAAACATTAAATGTTTGCTTTTGAGCTTCGTGTTTCGATGAAAATGAAAATTTCTATTTGAATATGTGCAAACTTTCTCTAATTGGTTTAGGCAACTACTCTCCGTATTGAGTTTCTGTTGTTGCATGTAGAAATAGTGAACATTTGTAGCGTCTAGTAAAATGATGAGAAAATCTCTTTCCCATCTTTAGATTCACTCAACATGATTTGATGGACCCGCACTCATTTCCAGCTTCCATGCAACTTAAATTGATGTAGTTCTTGGCTTTAAGCAAATCAAATTAGATCTATTAGATACATTCTGGATTTTCCGCCATCTAAGCCTTTAAAGGGCTCAAGCCCATTTATTATTTTCCATTGAATGACAGACCGATTTCCTTGAAAAATTCTGGGCTTTTCCAGTCCCGAAAGTCCAATTGGCTGTAAGAAATCCGGAAGATTTCCGGCCATTTATAGGATTGTTCCCTAGGAGGAGGCGACCTCACAACGTCGAATACGTTTCCATCAGAGCAGCAAAATTGTACTTTATAGGCCATTTGATTAGTGTCCAGACAGCAAAGAAAAAAAATTATCTAAATTGCCCAAAAATGGTGGATTTCTATATTTTATTGTAGTTAAATGCTTAGTTTTTGAAAAAAATATACCCACAAAGTGTTCTGAACTTGAGATTCTAAAGCTTAGGCAAATTTTCGATGTGGAGCTGCTGTAGTTTCAAAGGCCAAATTTTGTTAAAGTAAGAGGGCGGTTGCGAAAAAAAATCTAGAAACCCGTACTTATTAAACACGTGAAGGTCGGGATCATAGACCATTTTTTTTAACTTTCTTTAGTTCACAGATCCAAATATATCCTGAAAGTGGTGGAAATTTGAAGGTAATGTCTGCCTTAATTTGCAAGATATGAAAGGCGAGGGCGCAGTATAGAAAAAGCAATGCTTATGGGCACTGATATTTACTAAGCAGGAAAAATTCAGAATTCTCTGCAACTTTTATAAATATCTCCCAATCTGTAGAGCCGAGTATTTACTAAAGATGGTGACAATTTCAACTTACTACCTCTTCTACTTTGCAAGATACACATTTTTATCCGATAGGATGCATTTTAGTAAGAACGTCCACTATGAGACCGACGTTTACTGAGCTGGAAAAATTGCGAATTGCCGGAAATGTAAATGAA